TTTTAAAAGGGATCAACCTTTATAGAGTTTATTTTAATCTTGCAGGTAAGCGGCATAAATTAAATTTATTTAACGCTCCCGTTCGTAAAGTGTTTCAAAAGTATCTTAAAATATTTGTTATAAATATTATTATTATTGTGGTGAATTCTTTTTATTAATAAACTATTTTATTAATAAAATAATAAAAATTAATAAATTATAGTTATGTATAAAAATATGACACTGTTCAAATCATTCAAAAGATTACAAAAATAACCAGCTCAGGTATATTTTGCATTTCTGAGGTAATTTCAGAAATTACTATAGATAAATACAGTACAAAGAACTCTAAGGTTTTTATAAATGATATCTTCACTACAACATGAACTTAAAGCATGGTTTAACTTTTATGGATATGACAACTGCAAACTTGCCTTTTTTATTGATGTACGTTCCAAAACTAGACTACCGTCCATAATTATTTGAATGCTCATACTTTTCAATAATAGGCATCAAAGTTTTACTTACTACTGGGAAGTTTTATTTACTACTGGGAGAAAAACTGAATGCAAAATACCTATTATATGTTAATTTCTATTTTTTAACTTTAAAATAAAAAGATTACCAAAAATCCCATTAGTTTATAATTTATTTGTCTATTTAATCAAGCACAGTAACAATAACCACTTTACATATTCTTGGTATTCTACTTGATGACTTATTCAGTTTGTCAAAGTCAATTTTATGCCACTCTCTAATAATTTGATTAATAATGTATAATTTATGACCAAAAAAAGCTATCATTTGTTATCATAAAACGATGAAAATATTATCTGTAAAATATAGCATGTAAAAAACAGCATGTAAAAAACTGGTGTAATAAAGCACTCCATCAATACAATTTTTTTCTTTTAATAATAAAAAAGATAATATAAAAATGAAAAACAAGAGTTAAAATAAATTTGCTTCAATTACTCATACTTTTTTAGTATGATACAAGAGTACTAAAAACGTTCACAACATTTGTTATCAAAAATATGCATACCGGTTCTAAATTACCATATCTTTTATTTGAGCCTTGCTTTATAGAAATATATGCTCCCATATGATAAAATTTTTGCGAAGATTACACTAAAAATATGCTAAATATAAATATGCTAAATATTAGTTAAAATAAAAAAATAAAATAAAAAGTTATATGTAATTCTTTTTTATATATATATTTTATTACTGTCTAGTACTTACTGTCTAATACTTGCTGTATTCGGCTGTATAGTATGCAATCATAGCCTCATAAACATAAAGTTTGTTATTTAAGAAATTTTTACTTTCAAAATCTAAATCATTTTTGCATTTATTTATATAATTTTGTTTTAAAAAGGATTGTATTTTTCAATGTTTTAAAGTTAAAACTTAAATTGTCAATTTTTCTAACTTGATTTTTCAACTTAGTAAGATTGAAATGTTTTAAAGATTTATTCACTTAAAGATTGAAGAGCTTAACTTTACATTTATCATGAAATAGTATTAATGCACCCCCTTTTTTAAAACATAATTTAACTTCTTGTAATAAAACTACTAAAATAACAAAACTTGACTTTATTGACATTCAACCAAACAAGATAGTTTCCTTATCTAGTCGTCAGATTTTATATATCAAAACATTTTTATATTTATCATAACATTATTTCAAGATATTATTTTAAACAAGTAATTATTTGACAGTGTAATTATTTATATTGCCCTTGGCTTATTAATTCTTGGCATGTTAATTGTCAAGAACAACCAGAAATTAAAAATCAAGATTACTGACCTTATAATGTTTAACAATTTAATTAAATATCTGGTCTGTAAGATAAACGAATAATTTGTTTATAGAAAAAACTCTAAAAATCTTAATCTTTGCAATCTTTAAAAATTTATTCAAAATGTAATATGCCGATCAAGATTTTATGTTATACAATCGCGGTATATTATGAAATCATAGCTTTACCTTTAATTTTCAGACCGTTGAATTCTCAAGTTTTTGAATGGTATTTTTATAGTTTCATTTCCCACTGGAAAAGCTGTATATAGATGGTTTATGAACGCACGTGAACAAAATGTACAAAAATTGATTGGTATAATCTAAAGCTTTCTCCTTAATGATGTATCCACCAACTGATCGGTGAACACATCATTAGGGAGAAAGCTTTAGATGTTGGATACGAACTTAACATTCCAAATTTTAAAGTTTTAGAAGGGTGGCTTGAGCTGTGGAAAAAAAGCCATAATTTTGTTTTTCCAAATATTTCTGGCGAGGAAAGGTAGCGTTCAGAGAAAAAGACATCAAGTTGGGATCAAACTCATTTGCCCACAATCCTCTTAAGGTATAAAATGAGATATTTACAATACTGACAAGTTTGGTTTACTTTATCAATAACCTCCGACGAAAACCTTTCATCTAAAAGATGAGCGATGTTCAGGAGGAAAATTGAACAAAGTTCGTTTAACAGGCTTAGCAGCAGAAAAGAATTGAATTGGTATGTTTACTAGCTAACAATTTTTTATGCTCTATTTTATTTTTCATAAAACTACTACATAATCCATATAAAAAGAAACCCTGATTTTTAAACTTTTTGTGTATATAAAATATTAGGATTAGCAAACTTCAGGTTTTCATCTATTACATATGAATAAATATCAATACAGTTCTTGTTTTAACTATATAAAAATATAAATTTTATTTACAAAATTTTACAAATAGGTATTTTAGAATGTATAATTAATAAAACAAGTTTGTAACACTTCTAGTCTTGCTGAGACCCGATTATTATATAACCATTTAGAATAAAATACATATAATGTTTTCGCCACAAAAAATAGGATACATCATTTACCCAGTGGGAGATGAGCTAGCAACTAGCTACGTATAAAATACGTAGTAATACGTGTTTTAAACACTTTAAAAACGTCTTGCATCAACTAGCTATCTTTTTTTCACTGGTTAACTTACAAAATATAAATAAATAGAGACCAGGAGGACATTCGCGGATTATAAAATAAATTTATATTGATAATATATAATTTATTTCAAGTTTCAAATTACTTGACCGTTTATGACCGCAAAAGTATTTGACTATATAAGTCAAATTTTCACTAAAAAAAGTACTTCAAATACTACGTCATTTAAAACCATTTGACATAACTTACATGCAAATTAGTGTTGTATTAACTCATTTGAAAGATAATACTTGATTTTATTAAATTATGCAATAAAAGGATAGGTTTTAAAATTATCATCTATTTCATGCTTATTAGTAACATAAAAAAATACTATTAAATTAAAAAAAAAAATTTGGAAATTTTTTATTTTTAAAAAAAAAGCATTTTATTCTACAGCTTAGAAGCATGACGTCATGATAATTATACAAAAATATATAAATTTTTAGAAAAGTTGAATGTTTAAGCTATAAAATGGTATTTAATAATGTATATTTAGATAATGTATTTTTTCTTACTTTTGTCCACCACCTGGCCCACTCTGTGGTGTTGGAAAAATTTTTTTCTTTGGAACATAAATTGTGGGACTTTGAGTATGTTTATTTTATAAACATTGAGGGCCCTTGTGCTATTTAGAAGAGATTTAGAATTTGTGAAATGATTTTGAAAATAAATAATTCTTGCTTCATGATTCTGTTACTTGAGGAGATATTCGAATTTAGGTTTGTTTGTACTACCCAAATAACATTGATATAAAATAAGTAAATATTGATGAATGTAAAATATATCTGAGTTAGTGTAGATTTGGTAAGATTGAACGGGTTTTATATAAAATACCAATATTTTTTGAGACTTTTTTATAGCGAATATATTTAATGGACATATTTATATATATTTAATAGATTTTATAGCAAATATATTTAATGATCTTTTCAGGATAAGTTATCATCTATTCAAACACAAAGTAGTTTTTTTGTGAAAGCACGCTCTATTTTGATAATATTTATATAAAGCATTGGTAAGGATGTAGGAATATATTAAAACTTTCGTTTAAAATGGAATAAAAAAACTTAATTTTATCAATGTTCAACGATAGGCTGTTAGCGTTAAGCCAGTTTGATATTTGTTCTAGTTCTTTGTCTGCTACCTAAAATAGAGTAATAATGTTACTATGAGAATAAAATAAAGTGGTGTTGTCTGGAAAAATTGTAGTATACATAGTTTTTCATGCTCTATATAGATCATTGGCATAAATTAAAAAACAGTAGATGACCCAAGAGAAAGCCTTGTGGAACTCTATATAATATTTTAAGTTAATTGTCTGAAAACCGTCATTTAGAGATTTAAACTGTTTTCGATCAGTTAAGTAATGAGTAAACCATTTCTGGTATTCATGACTTCATAATACTTTAGTTTTTTGAATAAAATCTGATAATTAACGAAATCAAATGCTTGCAACATTTCTAGGAATATACCTAAAGTGAGTTTATTATAAGAAGATGCTCTGCTGATAATTACATTTAGTTGTATAAGTGCATTCTCCGTAGAGTAATTTGATTGAAAACCATGGTTACAATAGAGAAGATTGTTTTTATTCAAAAATACAAATAGTCTATTATACATGATTCGCTCAAGGACTTTTTAAAAAACAGGTAACACCGATATAGATTGATAATTTGTGACCAGACATTAATCTTCTCTTTTAAAAATGCGTGTAATCATTGCAACTTTTAATTTATCTGGAAAAAGACCTGTTTTAGGCGATTTGTTGAAAACATCTAACAAAACATTTTTAATAAATAATTTCTCTTTAATAAATAATTTAATGAAATAAAATCATTGTCTGTTGTTTTATTTGTGTTTAATTTTTTTATCGAACCATCTAGTTCTTTACAAGTAAGTTTTTAAAGCAAAGTTTTTATCAGATTTCATAAGCTAGTTCGAAAAATGTACCGGGGTGTGTTTACTTTAACTGGGTAAGTTTGGACCTGTATTGACAAAAAACTCGTTAAATTTTGCATCCACCAAGTTTACTTCAGAGATCTGTGTGCCTTAATCTTAATGGTCTTTTACTGAATCTTAATCGTCTTTTATCAATTCTTAATCGTCTTTTATTACCTACTTTGTGATTGAATGTTGATATTATTATTTGATTTTAATCTCCTATTCTTTTAATTAGAACTGGATTCTATGATTATTGCTTTGCTAATATCGCTCACCTCCATGTTACTGTCGATAACATCATTGATGTTCATGCTAGTGCGCAGAAAAAATCCTAACTCTTGGAGCTGCGGAGTAATATTATTTTCTGCTTTTACTTTTATTAACGGTAAGTTAACTATTTTCAAGCATGTTATTTTTTTTAATTCTGTAAACATCGTTTTTTACTGCTTTATTTGACAACGTACAGCCGTAGCACACGGATACGGACAAATCATCGTTACTTGACGTCAACTTAGGATCGTAGTTTATGCTATTTGAGAAAATTCAAGTTTGAAGAAGGAAATAAATCAATTCTTCGTTATTTTATGTCACAAAATTTAAGTTTTGCATTTTTTGGTGTTAGATTTATCAATATATTATATATTAATATACTTTACTACAAAAGAATGACTTGTTTCCTTTGTCAAACTGCCGTTTTGATGCAAAATAAAATTATTTGCTCAATTTATCATAATAAAAGCTTTTGATTGTTTTGTAATATTTTTTTTTTTAGCTTCAATGTGTTTTTCAGCTGTATTATTTGCAGAAATACGTTTTAAAGACAGATTTAAATCTCACAAACATGGATGGTCAATTATTCTTGTTTGGATAAAAGTCTTTTTCTCGACTATTTCTTTCATATGCTCATTTGCATTATTTAGCGCTAAAAAAAAAAATGAATTTCAGATTACCAACTATACGCGAAAACCAAGGAGTCAAAATGTCTTAGACAATCTAGGATACGTCCACGACGATTAACAAAAATAAAACGTTTAATTAAATAACATCTATGGACTCACTTACAAGAACAGTATTGTATTAACTAATAATAGATATAAATTGCTATAAATTATGGGTGCAGCATTTTTCGGAATTTGAGATCAACAACTTCCAGACATGGGCCAAACTCTAATTATTTATACGTTTATACTCATGTCAAGTAAGGGTACTTTGCAAAAGTATTGCGATGATTGGAGCCAGGAAACATAAAAGCTCTAAACATTTGCCCCTTTCTCTAGTCCCAAAAATAAGAGCAACAAGTCAATATTAAAAGTATTGATTTTACTATTCTCAACTAACTTTGAGCAGCCGTGGCGCAGTGGTAGCGCACTTGCCTCAGAAACAAAGGAGTTCAAACCCCACCTGGGCAAGTCTAGCGCCATCGGTTTGAAAGGAGGTGCGATCTTCCTATTAAATGTTCTTCCGCGGTGCTATGTGATTAGACTGTAAGGACTTCTTGGGGCACCTAAGATAAAAAAAATATTTAAAAATAAATATATATTTTCATTGATAAATTTCAAATTATATATTCTCATAGTATAATCTTACAGTATAATCTTACAGTATAATTTTACAGTATAATCTCACAGTATAATCTGACTGCGTTCAAAAGTTATGAAGATATAAAGTTTAAACCCACTATATTTTCGCGGGGTTACAAATTTATTGCTTGGTCATAATTTTTGAATGTTATGAGATTATTGTATGAAATATAAAATTTATCGATAAAATATAAATTTAGCTGAGAATAGTAAAAAAAACTGTATCAATGAATTACTGCATGATCCGTTGAATGATTTTTTTGATCTAAATATTTATCTTTTTTACGATTTTTAGTCAATTTGCTTATTTCCATTATGTCATACTTTAAGAAGTTATAATTGGAATATTGTTTATTTTAAAATGTTTTAATAATAGTAATAATGTACACGGTGACAACTGATGAAATCAATTGTGGAGCACAACAACAGAAGATGTTGTGCTATAACAGCTATAAATGTTTTATAATAGCATTGTTTACTTTTCAATGTATATAGATATTATTTAGTATTTAATAAATAATTTTTGCAGTAATCTGATTTATCAAGTTTATTTTTGAATTGGTCAATTGTCATTGATTTGATAATATATGGTGTTAAACCATTCCAAGCATTTACGACTCTACAGGAAAAGAAATTATATCTATAATTGCTCTTAAAATATGCCTTTGTTAACTTTTGGTTATGACTACGAAAATTGTAAGGTTTTAATTGAACTTGAGATGTCGAGTCGTTTATCCAATTTACTTTTACATAACATAAAAGTTTTGTCAACTTAACAGCCAGCTACTAGTTTTTTTTTAAATAAAAAGTTATTCGCTGTCTAGAAATCATAGTCTAAAAGTACAATATTTATGAAAAAGTACGAAATTTAAGAAGTAACTATTAAAGCCAACTTAGCCACGCGGATGTTTTTACACAATTTGGTAGTTGTGTGTCTAATCTTTCATTAAAAAAATAAAATTGCGCGTGGTTGCATTCGTATCTCAAAAACTTAGCTCTGAAAAATATATTTTAGAAAAAACTGTTCCATTTTTAGCCCGATATAAAAACTGAAGCGAAAAGATTTGAAAAAAAATATTAACTAGAAATATGTTCATAAAAATGTAAACTGAAATATAAAAAAATATATATACGTGCGATCTTAACATATTCTTTAGAAAAATCAATTTGAAAAAAGATAAAAATCTGATTAACTTCATAGTATATACATATATTTAGATATATAATAAATATATAATAAATACATAATAAATATATAATAAATATATGATAAATATATGATAAATATATAACAAATATATAATAAATATATAATAAATATATAATAAATATATAATAAATATATAATAAATATGTAATAAATATATAATAAATATATAATAAATGTATAATAAATATATAATAAATACTTTACAACATTATATAAAAACTAGTATGCTAATGGTTGAATCAAAAAGATTCTACTTATTTCCTTCGAAGAAGTTTGCTATTCAAGATAACGTTAGCTTTATCAAAGTTGCTTTCAGGTACAGTGAAATATGATTATCGGTTGAATGGAATAAGTGGCGCAATTTGACATAAAATTTAATTTTCCTCATAGTTACGGATTTGCTCTGTTACTGGCCATTTGAAACAGTTTTTGTGACATGCTGCTACGTGTTCCATGCACGAAACACTTATGCTACTCATTAATCAGAACAGTGAAACAATTTTTTAAATTAAATAACTACATTTGAATAAAACAATGTTTAAACATGTATTTCGGAAGGCAACAAATACAAAAATGTATCTTTGTAACTATATTATATTTTGAATACTGTTGAACTATATTATATTACAACATTCACCTGTTCTTGTATTACCATTCTAAATTCATTTTCATCATCTTTATTGTTAATTCAATATTTTCACCATCATAGTTATCATAATTGTTTTTATTATTCAGTTCTTCTTTGTCAATTAGCTGAATGTTTGCTGTTTCTACCGGCTCTTTCAATGATCCTTCATTATAGTTTTTGCTACCTTCTTAAAAACAAAGATTTAATCTGTTGCGAAGTAACATATTAGTGGGGATCTAAAGCTTTACGTAACTTCTGGATACATTTTCTTAACTATTTGGTCTGGATACATTTTCTTAACTATTTGTTGACCATCCATTAATTATTTATACAGCAAGAAACTTTGAGAATAAAAAAATCGAAAAGTGTTTTCTACTGGTAAAGCCTACCCAACTTCTAGAAATAAAGACATGAAAGTATTTTCTTCACATGCAGTCTTGCGAGTCAAATCAGATATAACAAGTATGTCAATATAATATCGGCAAATGCAGTTGTGAAGATGATTTCATTTTTGATACAAACGACTTTTTAGCTTTATCCATTGCCGATGTTATGTGCGAATAGTGGTGAATACCAGCTAGAATGTGCGTGTCAAACTTGATATTATCAATAAATGATGCACTAGAACCACTATGTTCACAGAAAATTATATTGCATAGTTATCTGTTGTCTCTTGCTTTTGACTTTTAAAAATTTTTCTCGCTTTTAGGTGTTTAACTGTTGAACTATATGGAAGAATGATTTGATAGTCAGATACAAATGTAATGACACTATATAGTTTATCAATGTATCTCCACAATTTCATATGTTTTGCAAAATAATGCATTGAATGATACAAGATGGCATTCTTGATAGCTTTACCTGATAACAATGTTTTATCACCATTAATTTTTAATGGTGACAATTATGCGTTACTTAAACCGTTTCCATAGTGTAACACTATATAAACGTCTTCTTCTGTAGTCAAGTTGTAGCCTGCATTAATGAAACTTTTTATGATGTTTTTTGCTGCCCCACTCACAATAGCATCAATCCTTACCTTTTAATAGCTCATTGTAATTTTTTCTTAATAATTGAAGATTTTCATCTTTGCAGACTTGCAAGTGCCTTAATTATGTTATTTCCATGGTATGAACTAGCATTATCAGACTTTGTGAAAATCTTTGTTATTACGGGATTACTTTTCTTGAAATCCTTTAGAACGCGTTCATATATACAAAAGCTACTTGCAAGCCCTTGATCACATCAATAATTTGAGAAAAACTTGTTTGGTTATGTCATTATCTCTTTTTATAAAAAACACATCAATGTGCATACTCATGCCCTTCTTTCCAAAGTAGTCTTTTTAATCTTCTCTAAATTTAACCGGAATTATCTTTTGGCTAAAGTCTTTTAACTAAAAACAAGATTTTTCATTCAAATTTACAAAGCTTCTGCTGCGCATTTTGAATAAAGTGTTTGATATAATTATAAATACAATTTACCACGATTGATGTGTCATTCAACATATCTTTATCATCTCCGGCTTTTACTGCATCTAAAACTGTTTGGATAAATTTAAATAGATCTAAACAATCAGCACATTATATATGCAAATATGCACCTATATGCAAAAGTTTATCATATGATTTGGGACTCAATGTGTCCGATAATGCCCAGGATGTTGAATGTAAATGCGCTTCTGAAAAAGGATCAGCACAATAAATAACGTGTTTTCAAGTAAAATTTTCCAGTTTCAAGGGAATCAAATACATCTCTTTTAAACAAGCTGCGCTTTGCCATACCCAACAATTTATTAAAACCATTCATTCTAGATGAAATGATATCGTCTAGCCCTGCTAAGCACTGTGATGGCTTGACTGACACTGTGATTGCACCTAGTATCCTCAAGAGTGTACTCTTATATAAACAATAGTAAATGGAAATGCATTATTAAAATTAATAAAATTCTTAATCATTTGTTTTGCACCTTTGAAGATAAAAAGATATTGGCTGAGCTTTGTCATAAGAATAGCATGTAATAAGAATAGCATAAACAGATAGATTCTGTTTGTCTCCTCTATTAAACTTTACTTTGGTCACACTGTATGCAACATCTTGCAACAACCACTCATAAATACAAAGTCCGAGAAATGTTCACACTTTTGAATGTTATGTTTGTTTCTTTTGAACTTAACTTTTTATAGTAGAACTAGTCCACCACTTGCCATTTTCTCGCTTAACTGACTTAGTATCTACAGCAACCAAAAGCATTAATAATAGTTTTTTTTGAAAAAATATGATGGTCTATAAGTAATAAAATAACAGTTTGGTTCAAAGAATTGCTTTCTTTGTAAAAGCTAGTATATCGAACTAATTAAATCGAAACTACTTTCTCTTTTTTGTAAACAACATCATGCAATGATGTTGTTTACAAAAAAGTTATCTCACTGTGTGGAAGCTACTGTTTCTGCAAAGCTTTTTGTGACAGCGTTTAAATATTGTTAATGTTTTCACTTCAGGTATTTCTTAGTATTTTTGTTAAGCATTCGTACTGGCGTTTATTTATTTGAAATCGTACTGGGCTTACATCCAAATATTGAGATAACACCACAGTGGATTCACTATTTGAGTTTAAGACACTTTCATGAACAACAATCTCTTCTGGTATATATTCCTGATCAAAATCATCAAAATCTTTTTTTTCTGGTAAA